GTGCTGAGGGGCTGAATGCCCTAGCCGAAAAAAGGTTAACCTGTTATACATAGTAGGATTCTATATCACCAACAAGGTTAGAAGGTTACCTACCCAGTCCCTAAGTGTGCATAGGGTTGGAGCCCTTTTGTCCCCTAGATGCCAGGGTTCAGGGCCTGGGACTTAGAGTTAAGGATGGCCCTTAAAACACTCTGAAAAATATTCCGGAATATGATCCTCCTAAACCCAAGAAGGGAGAAGATGAAATTCCCCAAGGACCTAGTTAAGGGCATGTAGACTTGGGGGGGGTGAGAGGGCAATTCGCTCAGAGACCTCGAGAACACTTTGGGCTATCTGCGTTGCGTCCTTCTGTGGCTAGATCTGAGCTTGCGAAGAGCACTCAACCTAAGTCTGCAAGTGTGTGTGTGTGTGTGTGTCCGCGGGCCAGAGTCGGCTTCTCGTGCTTCATCCGCCCAAAACGTCGCCAGCTTTTAGGTTTGGGGCTTAGGGGTCCTTTCATTCCCACTAAAAAAGGCCCGCCAGCCACAGCAAGGTTTCCCCAAGCTCTATCCTCGGCTGAACCTAAGCCGTAAACCTGAAATCCCCCAAGCCCGAAATGACTTTATTCTGGCACGTCTGTCCTTCCGCAAAGATGCCAGCCATACGGGTAATTCGCCGTATCCTGCTCCAGGAGCGGAATCCATAACCATCTGACTTGTAGACCATTTTGGAGACCCTACTCTACCTGTATGTACAAGGAAAGTCCCTAAACTGTAAGGAACACGCTGGGAATAGAGACCCAAAGGGGGAATCATCAGTCGGATCAGCCTGCGACTCAGGGGACCCCTTATACATCCCTTTGTATACCCTTTTAAAACCTAGGGCTCATACTTCAGAACCCCTCTAAAGAGGGTAAGGGACCACATTCAAGACCCATGTAACCACCCGTAGATAAACCCTAAACCCTATAATAGGACGCCTTGTTAGGAAGCCTTCGGGAGTTGCTTCCGCAAGGCTCAAGATGGGGCTGGGGCTTAGGATGCTCTCTGGGAAATTGCAGCGAAAAAAGCATCAGCGAAGGAAGCACTTGACATGTATACCCCATACGTACCCTATACCCTATGCCCTATGCCCTGTGCCCTATGCCCTACTAAACTCTAAACCCTACACCCCAAGCCGAAGGGTTCAGGACCCAGCCTCCCGCCAGGGCTCATGGGTCGGCCGATGGGTTGCTAGGACCTGCAGCATGCTGAGAATGACTTCGGAAAAGTGGGTTTCAGGCTTCAGGGTCTATTTGGTTTAAGGCATATTTGGTCTAGTGAGTGTTTGGCCTATTTGGTTCAGGGTCTACTGTTAGGGCCTACGTTTGGGCCTTGTGCTTGGGAGGGTCTGGATTTGAGATATGTGGGGGTTTCTTGCGAGGCTTTGGGGGCATCTTCAGGGTTCTCCGGTGCTGAGATGTGCCTCAACCCTAAACCCTAAACCTTAAACCCTAAACCCTAAACCCTAAACCCCAAACCCCTGGGATGCTAAGGGCTCTTCAGTGTTGTATCTTTTTACTGCAGGGGATTCTGGAGGCTTCGCTGCTTTTGTGGTGGCCTCTAGGCATGATGGTTTCGTTGTCGTTTTGGCGCATCTGGAAACGCTAGGGTTTAGGGCTTAGGGCTTAGGGTTTCGTTGGGGATTAGGGTTTAGGGTTTAGGGTTTAGGGTTTAGGGCTTAGGGTTTGGGGTTTAACCCTTTGCCACTTTTGGGTCTTTAGGGTTCAGGGCTTGAGGGCTCGAAAGGCTCGGGGATGCAGCCCTAAACATCGGCCGAGATGCGCATCTTCCAAGACTGCGGGTTTAGGGTTTAGGGTTTGCCCTCCGTCCCCGCCCTCCCCCCCCCCCCCCTCCCCCCCCCCCTCCCCCCCCCCCCCCCCCCCCCCCTCCCCCTCCCCCCCCCCCCTCCCCCCCAAAAAAAAAGAAAGAAAAACATAAAGAAAATAATAATACACATCCGTACTGGCCCCTGTAAGGAAGAATGTGTTTTGCTTTTCAGGGGGTTCTTAAGCAAACGGTAGAAAATAGGGGTACCCCTTAAGGACCACCCGAAAACCCTGAACCCTAGACCTCCGAATTGTGGGAACCCCCGTCCAGATCACCCTGAGGCCCTGGAGCTACGTTTCAGGGGGCCTTCATGCAGCAAAGGTCGTTCTCTTGCGTCTGCGGCTGGAGGGTGTTGGCACGGTGCACCTTGCAAGCGGCCTTAAGCAAAAAGCCACCTCAGAGAACCTCCCAAACCTGAACCTTGGGATGCCCTTTCTACTAACAGTCCTTAATCGGGATTATCATGGTACTATCATCCTTACTAAGGAGCTGTCAGCATAAGGGGGAACATCGCAGAACGTGACCCCCCAAAAAACTCGAGGCTCTGGTGCCTGAACCGCCTGAACCCCATGGCCCTTGCCGCAAAACCCTCCAAACATCCATTCGTCCATCAGAGAATCCTACCATTTGTGATGGTTTGTCTTTCCTTATTCTGTTTTCGGGCCGAAAGAAGCACACGCCGAAAGACTGAATCCTCCAAACTTTGACGAAGGTTGAGGTAGTTGTGGATGGGGTTCTGCTCTGCATGCCCCCAAAATTGTTCTGGCCAGTTGTAGAGCTATAGTTCCCAAGTTCTCATGAATATCCAAGTAAGCTTGCCATCCCGGCCCTGGCTGCAGAAACCTTCTGCCCACAGTACTCCATGCCCATTGCATCTTCAATCCTAAAACCGGAAACTTCCTGAAATTCCAGGCCTAAACCCGAACTTGGGATGTGCCCCCTTATACTAGCAGTCCTTGAAAGGGATTATGATACCCCCCCCCCCTAACCCTCAAAACCCTATGTTACTAAACCCCAAACCCTAAAACCTAAACCCTAAACTCTAAACCCTAAACCCTCTAAGCCCCAGGGGTAGGATCCTGGACAGCCACCGAGGCGCGCCATTGGAAGGCAGGAAAGTCCACCGAAGGGGATCCTGCCAAAGAGCTCTTACGGTTTAGAGTTTAGGGTTTAGGGTTTGGGGTTTGGGGGTCCAAGTTTGCTGGAGCTGGCTTTCTGTTTCCGGAGATTTGCCTCAAGGAAGTCGTCCCAAGGAATGAGAGGTTCTACCATGTGGGTCCAACTTTGTTGGAACTGGCTTTGTTCTTTCACTTGGAGGTTTGCGCACTCTGTCTGCGGTGCTCCACTCAAATGACTCAGTGCGCTGCCGTGCTTGCCTTTGTCTGCAGACAGAGGGCGACTCCAAAAACAACGAAACGTTCGGCGAGAACACCTGCGCCTCGCTTGTACTCAGGGTTTAGGGTTTAGGGTCTCTGAGAAAGCGCGCTGCCCTGCCGGCCTCAAGCACCACCACTTGTCAATGACACATGGTGCCCAAAACGATTCTGATGGGTTTTTGCGTTGCGCAGCAGCTCCATTGTGTTTATGACTAAGTGGAAATCGCGACCCCTGCGTGTCAGGACATAAAAATCTCGCAGAGCGTGGCCAAAACGAGGGATACAGCCGCATAGCTTCATCGACTTTTGTCGGTGCTTGGAGATCCGCAACCCTGCAGGCTGAAATCGATCGGAGGGGGTGGAAAGGGTGGGGGTTGGCAAAATGCGAAACAAGCAGCCCTAAACCCTAAACCCTAAGCCCTAAACCCGAAGCCCTAAACCCTAAACCCTAAGCCCTCAGCCCTAAGACCATGGACCATGGATGAACAAAACACTTACTTGATTCTCGTGCTCCATGCCGGTACTGCACAACGCGCAGAAAGTTGCCTTAGTGGTCGGGCTGCAGGGTGGTGATCCGGAGACTTTGAGTGTCATTTGACTTTAGAACCCTTTAAAAACCTTTTTGAATTTTGAGAGGCCTTTGGGCCTCTCAACTTTTTGAACGACAAGCGAAAGGAAATGGGAATTGTAGTACCTGCCTCTTATAATCCATACCAAGGACTGTTAGCATAAGGGGAACATCTCAACATCAACCCTAAACCCTAAACCCTAAACCCTAAACCCTAAACCCTAAACCCTAAACCCTAAACCCTAAACCCTAAACCCTAAACCCTAAACCCTAAACTGGCACTAGGTGGGTCCTGGTAGGAGTCCTCGGGCAGCACCGCGCACACCTCCTCAAGGCCCTGCGGTGGAGGGTTGAAGGTTGAACGGCTTATAAACCCTAAACCCCAAACCCCAAACCCTAAACCCCCAACCCCAAACCCCCAAACCCCCAACCCCAAACCACAAACCCCACCCTAGCTCCTAAACCCCACAGCCTAAACCCTAAACCCCAAACCGTAGACCCTAAACCCTAAATCCTCAAAACCAAAGTGCCAAACAACCCTAGACGCTAGATCCCACCGCACCGCACCCGTGAGAAGCCTTAACGCAAAATTCCAGTTCTCGAGGGGTCGGAATAATTACTTATCGTATTCCCTTAAGGGTCCTTATGTATATTTCTACTAGAAAGAAGCCCAAAACCCTCTTCTTGTTGAGGCCCCTATACTACACGCTTGTGCAGGAACAGCTGAGGCCAACATTTTCACACTGCTGTGTTCGCATGCATTGAGAAACACCACATCGAGCACCCACCCCTCTTGGCAGTGAAGCTCTGTCACTGCTAAATTTGGGGGTTTCCGAAACTAGGGGTACCCTATTGGGTTTAGGGTTTAGGGTTTAGGGTTTAGGGTTTAGGGTTTAGGGTTTAGGGTTTAGGGTTTAGGGGTACCCTATTGGGGTCCTTACTATAAAGGGGATCCTACTAGTTGGGGGTCTATATTGGGGTCCCTTCTTTTCGTAAACCACCCTTTGAAGAATCCGCCACACGATGCTTTCAAAGCGCGGCAGTTGATCGGTAACAATGACCCTGCAAACTGCCGGTGACACTTGCTTGCACACCTCGAATTACCATCCCACTCCCACTGGCCAAGAAGAAAGCCCAAAACTGAAAGTCACGTGTACTTCTCACTGTCTACTACAGCACTAAGTACTCGCAAGAGCATAACTATACCGCTCAAGCCCACACAGCTAAGACCGCCATAATGGTGCCGCCCACGAACAGGGCCAAGAGGTTTGCCCAACGAGGAGGCGTGTTCCGGCAACCACTGCACTCCCGGAAATCTTCCGGAAGCAGCTCTACAAGACCTATGTGAAGCAACGTGCCAGCTGCAAGTGCATTCAGCACGCCCAAGGTCCAAGCAGTTCGGTAGTCCTCCGGATCATACTGGTCGGCAAAGAAGATTCCCAAGACAGCTCCGATTGGACACGCCAACGTGAATGTCAAGAACAAGTGCCACGAGCATCTAAAGCTGAAGCCGTTTTTCACAGCAACAGCGCCGAGCGCAAGGCCCTCGAAAAACTGATGAAACAGCAGCGCAGCGGTCAAGCAGAGAATGGCAACGCGCTTTTTCAAGACGCCCAGTGCGAGGCCAACAAGTACAGAGTGCACCATGATTGAGACCTCCAGGGTTTTTTCAGGGAGGGGGTTCGAGGGGGGGGTATGCAACCCAAATACTCCCTACTACTACTCTCAAAGGCTCCCTGAGCTTCCCTAAAGTTTCCTAGGTACTTACCCCCATGAACCCCCTCCCTTCAGAACCCTATCATGAGACCTCCATCATGTAGACAACGAAACGCCGCAGCGGCTGTCCTGCAAGATCCAAGTCGTGGAGCTCAATGCTTGGCAGGCCGTGGGTATGGCCAAAGCCGTGATCAGCTTCCTTGTTGAGCAGACATTCTTCCACCCCATTTTTGTTGGGCGGCTTCAGGTAATGAAGCGCCATGGTACCCATCTCCTTGATTGCAACCATCAAGAAAATCCCCACAAGTGCTGCAGCATCTGCAACCGGATACTCGGAAACGTTGCGCAAGTAGTCCTGGCCGTCAGCAAGAACATGAAGCAGGGCAACTGATACGACAAGGCCTGTACAGAGCACTCGCATCAGCTGAAAGAAAGTTGAGTGAAGCAACTTCTCGTTGGTGCGCATCGCGAGAAACGGGCAGCCGACGCCAGCAAAAGACACGATCAGGATCATGCCTGTTGCAATCCAGCGAAGGTCTGCTGTGTCCATGACCATGATGTGCTGAAACGAAGACAGGTCACAAGAACGCAGGTGTATGGCGATCGGACTCAAGGCGCTAGAGAAATATGCTGCGGCATTCCTGTGTGACCTGGGGGTTCGGCACGCCAGCGTTATGCAGATTCCATGAAGGCTCATCTTTTCACGTTAAGGTGTAGCGTCAACTTTGACAAGCTCAGCAATCAGCCCTGTGATAGGGATTTCTTCGCAACCCCTGGGATCATACGACAGCCCAACGCCAAGCTGCGGAACTGTCCAAAAGCTAAGGGCACATACACTTCATCGATGTGATAGAATCGGAAATGATAGAGAAACGAAAACATGCGAATCCTATCTGTGTTGAAGGGTGATGTGCATCATTCCTTTTTGGAAGTCTACATCAACATCATTGCGAATAGGGAAGATCAGATGGAGTATTAAAAGGATACTGAACGGAAGGACAAGGAGGAAGGAGAGAGGAAGCGAGCGGGGCGAGAGGGGAGGCGTGAGGGCTTCGGGGGCAAACCCAAAAGCAATCGCGACCCCTTGGACAGGAACGACAAAACCTCGCCGAACCTGTCCAAAAGTCACTGGACTCTGTTTAAGGTACCCTAAGCCCTAAACCCTAATGGACTGGCGAGAGCCCCTAGGGTTTAGGGTTTAGGGTTTAGGTTGGCCCGCAAACCAGACATGTCGGCAGTGGTGGGCAATCGTCCAGTTCTCTGCGTTCATACTGCGGACCTGCTAGCCTCTGCTGTTCTACTTTGGGATGCTCATACTAGCAGTCCTTAATAGGGACCATAGTACCTCCTAATATCATTCCTATTGCGGACTGTTTGTATAAGGGGTTTCATCCCAAGTTCTACTCCTGCAAACAAAGACGGAAATGGAATCTGAATACATCCGCCACTTGCAAGCCCGCAGCGTTTTTGGAATTCCCCCACCCCTCCATCGCTTGGAATTCCCCCCGTTCTCTGCATTAGGGGCTGGATACCCTAGCCCACAAGAAGGATAACCTTCTTTATAGTAGGATTCTGTATAACCGCAAAGTTTAGAAGTTGCCTACCCAGTCCCTAAGCTGCTCTTCCAGCCTCAGCGCGGACGCTTGCAGCCGGCGCCCGTGGAATGACTCGGCATGGGGTGTACGGTGCAGTGGAGAGGAATGGTCAGCATTCGGGCCTCATGATGTGGGGGTTTCCGAAATTAGGGGTACGTTGTTGGGATCCTTATTCTCTGTGGGAGTGCTACCATTTAGGGGGGATCTACATTGGGTGTCCTATTTTCGTAAACCCCCATGTTGGTTCAAAAACCCTAAGCCCTCCCTCTAAAACCCTTCGCTTCAAGCCGCAAAACCCTAAACCCAAAAGCCCGTAAGCCCTTGTGCCCCAAACCCTTAAACTCTTAAACCCTAAAGCCTTAAACTCTTAAGCCCTTAAGCCCTTAAGCCCTAAATCCCTTAAAAACCCTTAAGCCCTCAAACCCTTAAAAACCCCTTAACATCCCTTCAACCCTCGAAACCCCAAAAACCCTAAAGTCCCTAAACCCTAAACCCTAAACCCCAAACCCCAAACCCCAAACCCGAAACCCTAAACCCTAAACCCTGAACCCTAAACCCTAACCCGAAACCCTAACGAGTTCTCCTGTGCGGCCAGGGCGACTCGCTTTGGGGGCCACCAAAGCTTTGAGCAGGGCCACCAGGAAGACCTCGGGCTTGATGGGGAGTCGGGCTTTAGGGGTTTTAGGGGTTTTAGGGGTTTTAGGGGTTTTGGGGGTTTTAGGGGTTTTAGGGGTTTTAGGGGTTTTAGGGGTTTTAAGGGTTTTAAGGGTTTTAAGGGTTTTAGGGGTTTAAGGTTTAGGGTTTTAGGGTTTAGGGCTTTAGGGCAGTAATATTTATGTGCAGCAACACTTGGACCGTCGTGGGAAGCGTGACGATCAATGATCAATGTCAAGGCTTTCTGTGAGGCATTCAACGCGAGCCATCATATGTGCTTACCCACGTACGGCTGATTGTGCCAATTACTGTATCCACCTTTCAGTGGGTTGACAGGTTCCTGCGTAACCTAGAAACGAAAGCGCATCAAGGGACTATTAAGACTCGTACCCCTAAGGATGTACACCTAAGAGGATCCCTTAATATAACCCCTTATGTGGCCCTTATATTTACTTAGGGATCTTTGAATCCAAGGTAGAGATCTTAGGGTAGTTGCGCGGTCTCTTAGTATTGGCCCTTGAAAGGGGACCTCTTATATGCCCCGTATATACCTCATACAAATTAGGGGCCCATACATCAGAACCCTTTGAAGGAAGCTAGTGACCGTATTAAGGGCCCATGAATCTACTCTTCGATAAGAGACGGGGGAAAGAATGCCGCTAGGGAGCCGGCAGGTTCTCTACATCCTACACCAGTTCTCAAGGCTGCTGGCCCTCTTGACTACAACTTGCTTGAGAACCACACACCCGCCCCCCCCCCCCCCCAAAAAAAAAAAAAACACAAGTCGTCTTCCTTATCAGGGCAATCTAGAGATTTAGTACTTTCTACTAGTCTGGGGGCATTCTGAAGCCAAATAGTAGATCAAGCCAAACCCAGCAAAGCCCTGTCAAGGGCTCAGACGTGCTTGGGGCTTCGTGGTGAGGGTTTGTGGCTTGGGCTCGGAGAATTCAGGGCTGGAAGGTTGGGCTTGGGGCTTGAATTTTAGTGAAGCCCGAAACCACCAAAGCCTCGAACCCTAGATCAGGGTTCAGGGCTTAGGGTTTCGTGTTCGGGGTCTCGGGATCTGGCTACAGCAGCCCACGTGCTGCAGCCGCCTGGCATCGCTGGGTTCTGCGACGTGTTCGTACCCTGCTATCCCCTTCATGGCTACTGGGATGTTCCCCCTTATCCTAACAGTCCTTCATAGGGATAATACTAAAGGGTACGATAATCTCTGTTAAGGACTGTTTGTATAAGGGGGAATATCCCTAAACCCTAAACCCTAAACCCTAAACCCTACTAAGGACTGCTAGTATTTTGGGGAATATCCCAAGAGGAACCCATCAAGGACCATCATGAGAGCACGGCTCCCTCGGCCGAAACCGATTTGTTGTCAAGCCCCAGGCTCATCAAAAGCCCAGCATTTTGGGGGGGATGTTTTGTGGGTTTAGGGTTGAGGGTTTAGGGCTTAGGGTTTAGGGTTTAGGGGCAACTCTTTCCAGGAGGTCAGGTTCAGCTGAGACCGTGGGGACGCTTCTGGCTTAAGATGCCTTTCGCAACCTCCTCCCGCCAAAGAAGATGTCGTAGGGCTGCCGTGTCATGTTCACGTATGAGGGTTTATGGAAATAGGGGACCCCCAAAATAAACCCACAAATAATAAGATTCCCTTATAATATGGACCCCAATATAGAAGGTACCCCTAATTTCGGAAACCACCCTTTGAGGTACATACATGCCATAAATATTAACACAAATACCTTCTGCTGCACATGCGGCAAAAACCCAAGCTCCTAGCATATGTTTTTTCGAGGGCTTTGGGACTTGGGGTGGGGTGGAAGTTTAGGGTTTCCCCTCTTTGCCACCCCCCCCCCCCCCCCCCCCCAAGCGGCGCTGCCTAGCTGGAGGAAGATGGCGAGCCTTCGCTCTGAAAGAATAGGGAATGAGGGAGCCCCTAAACCCTAACCCTAAAGCCCTAAGCCTGCTGGTTCCTATCAGCCCTTCAAGGGATTCTGTACGGTACCCTCAGCCTTACAAAGTAGGAACCGGAAACCACAAAGCCCACCCAAAAATAGTTCCATGGCCCCTTGGTACGGGCCATTGATTGGGACGCCGAAAATAACCCTTAAAAATCCATAGGGAAGGTAAGACCACATTAAGGGACCATGCAACCACCCGTAGAACTGGACCTAAACCGGCCCGACACCCTTCCGGAACCAAAATCCTGGTTTTCAAGCCTCTTCAAAACCTCGAAACCGAGTTCCAGCACCCCAGCCGTTTAGGCTCACGAGTTTTCGCACCCCCCCTCTCCCCACTCTACTCTCCCCTCACTCTCCCCTCTCTCTCCCCTCTCTCTCCCCTCTCTCTCCCCTCTCTCTCCCCTCTCTCTCCCCTCTCTCTCCCCTCTCTCTCCCCCTCTCTCTCCCCTCTCCTCTCCCCTCTCTCTCTCCTCTCTCCTCTCTCCCCCTCTCTCCCCTCTCCCCCTCTCTCTCCCCTCTCTCTCCCCTCTCTCCCCTCTCTCCCCTCTCTCCCTTATTGATATTTATATTTATATTTGTATTTATATTCATATATACACATATATATACTAGCCATTGGATTTTTCCAGATGTCCGAGTGGCCCAGCAGCAATGAAGAAAGCGGAGGCGCGCCCTTGCGACTGTCTCATTGCTGCGACGGCACGGAAAAAGGCTGCGGAAGCACCAACGAGAACCAGCTTGCAAAAAAGGCAAGTAGCTGTACTTGTGACCGGCATCGTTTCAGGCAAAGGGCTTAGTCGAAAGCACATGTGCTCCAGCGAAGTGGCGTGGCATTTGTCTTGAAGGGCTGGGCTGAAAGGCTGTGAACCTTGAAAGCAACAACCACAATCTCCGCTGACGACTACAGTGCGACTTGAGCAGCTGTGTAGTGTCGCGGCGACATCCCCCTTAACCCACAAAGATGGGTTGGGCCATGGGATGACATCCGCGTCCGAAGCCGGGGCTGGTGCCCATGTACGGTCCTGGCTCGGTCCCGGAACACCCTCTGAATAAGTTAGCATTCCTAGAAAAAAAGGTGCTCATAAACCCAAAAGGAATACGACGACACTTCCCCAGGGCATACTTAAGGGCACTCTTCTCAACTTTTCTGGGGGGTTGGAGTGTACTCTGATTTGACTGCTTTGCTTGCGGCGCTGGCTTTTGTACCGCGCGTCTGCTGAAACTTGTTTTGCTCTACTTGGTTTAGGGTTTTGGGGTTTAGGGTTTAGGGGTTTAGGGTTTAGGGTTTAGGTTTTAGGGTTTAGGGTTTAGGGTAGCGGGAGCTGGCCTTGCTGCGACTCGGCTCTAACGCC